ACGCAAATAAAAAAAAAAAACATACGAATGACTACACCTTATTCACTAATTAAATCGCCACACGTAAAAAATGGTGCATTAAAAACACAAATGCATCCAAAATATAATCGCATAAGTAAAAATCTACTTAAATTTGACTAACACCAGATATAAAGAGCACTTAATTTTAGCAATCTTGTCAAAGATTGTAAAGGTTTTAGGCACAAAATAGCAAAATCGAAGAAAGCATATATAAATTATGTTAAGACCCTAAACATTTCTCCACATCTACCAAAATTAACAATTTTTTAATTCTCTAAAACGAAAACAAAGAAAGTAAATAAGATCAAAGTTTAAATTGAAAACCAATTCATATGTAAAAAGCGCGAAAGCTAACCAGTTTGCAGTTGCAAAAGGAATCACTGGCAAGTGTGAGGAATTAGTTGCAAAAACCTGGATAATAAAAAGATAAACAACTAAACAAAACTACAAATGTAAGGGCATACACGACACAATGAAATAAAGAAAAAGAAAAACAACTCTAGGTAAACAATAGATCAACCAGCGAATAAACATAAACAATATAAAAATAAAGGTAAATTAAAGTTGAAGCAAAATATGAATTATTTGTGAATATTGTGATTATCTTTGTTATATAGTAAATGGAATATGAACATCAATTATATGAAGTCGCAAAATTAGGGAAAAATTGCATTAAGGTAGAAATGATTTAAATTTTTTTTTTTTTGGTTAGAGGCAGCAATGAATTAATGAGAACTAAAAAAGTGTGTAAATGAGTAGTAATAGCACTTAATTATTAAACTGATAAGGGAGTTCATTGTTTACATCATTACACTTATATGTCAACCATCCTTACATATTCACAATTCAAAAAACCACTTTATTGTTTACATCGTTATACTTATCAGACAACAAAAAAGGTTTACACAACCTTTTTCAAAATTGAAAATCTAGCTGATCCTTACATATTTTTTAAAATCCAGAAAACCACTACAGTGGAGTATTGCAAAAGGAATCATTGGCAAGTGTGAGGAATTAATTGCAAAAATCTGGATAATAGAAAGATAAACAACGAAACAAAACTACAAATGTAAGGACATACACGACACAATGAAATAAACAAAAAGAAAAACAACTCTAGGTAAATAATAGATCAACCAGCGAATAAACATAAACAATATAAAAATAAAGGTAAATTAAAGTTGAAGCAAAACATGAATTATTTCTGAATATTGTGATTATCTTTGTTATATAGTAAATGGAATATGAGCATCAATTATATGAAGTCGCAAAATTAGGGAAAAATTGCATTAAAGTAGAAATGATTTATATATATATATTTTTTTTGGTTAAAGGCAACAATGAATTAATGAGAACTAAAAAAGTGTGTAAATGAGTAGTAATAGCACTTAATTATTAAACTGATAAGGGAGTTCATTGTTTACATCATTACACTTATACGTCAACCATCTTTACATATTCACAATTCAAAAAACACTTTATTGTTTACATCGTTATACTTATCAGACAACAAAAAAAGGTTCACACAATCTTTTTCAAAATTGAAAATCTAGCTGATCCTTATATATTTTTTAAAATCCAAAAAATCACTATAGTGGAGTACTGCAAAAGAAATCACTGGCAAGTGTGAGGAATTAATTGCAAAAATCTGGATAATAGAAAGATAAACAACCAAACAAAGCTACAAATGTAAGGACATACACGACACAATGAAATAAAAAAAAAAGAAAAACAACTCTAGGTAAACAATAGATCAACCAGCGAATAAACATAAACAACATAAAAATAAAGGTAAATTAAAGTTGAAGCAAAACATGAATTATTTCTGAATATTATGATTATCTTTGTTATATAGTAAATGGAATATGAGCATCAATTATATGAAGTCGCAAAATTAGGGAAAAATTGCATTAAGGTAGAAATGATTTATATATATATATATTTTTTTGCTTAAAGGCAGCAATGAATTAATGAGAACTAAAAAAGTGTGTAAATGAGTAGTAATAGCACTTAATTATTAAACTGATAAGGGAGTTCATTGTTTACATCATTACACTTATACGTCAACCATCCTTACATATTCACAATTCAAAAAACACTTTATTGTTTACATCGTTATACTTATCAGACAACAAAAAAAGGTTCACACAACCTTTTTCAAAATTAAAAATCTAGCTGATCCTTACATATTTTTTAAAATCCAGAAAAAAAGCCAAAACAACATTAAACATAAAAATTCAAACTTTACTGCCTTTTAGCTCTCTGAATTTACTCTCAAACCAAACACAGAAACTAAACCCAGTAAAAAAATAATCCATTTTTTAAAACCACTTGTCAATTCAACATAAAAAATAAAAAAAGGAACAGAAACAGTCCTAATTACTCCATGACACTTCGCTGTTTTGGGTCTAGTAATGCTGCATACATGGCAAACTTAAAGCTCAAAAGTAGATATCCAAAAAAATTAAATCCTTCTGCAAGGGATACAACTATTAACAAAGATTTGGGTAAATGAGTAGTAATAGCACTTAATTATTAAACTGATAAGAGAGTTCATTGTTTACATCATTACACTTATAGTCAACCATCCTTACATATTCACAATTCAAAAAACACTTCATTGTTTACATCGTTATACTTATCAGACAACAAAAAAAGGTTCACACAACCTTTTTGAAAATTGAAAATCTAGCTGATCCTTACATATTTTTTAAAATCCAGAAAATGACTACAGTGGAGATGAACCAAAGAAGGAGCATCCCAATCTTCTTCGGACGTTTAAACTTGCAAATCCAATTGTACAACCCAAAACAGTTTTTTTGAACATTTTCTTTTGGTGGATTACTACGATTTGTAGGTGAATACATAGTGTGGACGACCAACTTGTTTCGATTGACACCTTTTCCATAAACACGTAAACCCATTCTTGTTTTTTCTATTTTTTGTGCTCTTGATGTGCTGGGTCCTGGAGCAGTCTCTGAATAAAACAATTTTGTCCCTCGAAGCTGTTCGTCTTTTCGAGCTTTTACCAATCTTCTTAAATCTTTTACCAAAACCCCTCCTAGAATTTGTTGTTCTTTTCGATCGATCTCTTTCACCATTTTTTTTTTCTCTGAATCAAAAATTAAATATAATGTCAATAAATGTTTTTAAAAAGATAAAATTTTGTAAACTTGAGCAACATTGTTTAAATTCTTAAAAATCTGAAACAACAAAGAACATACATCAATTATTTTTTTATAAGTAAAGAATACATGAATAGAAATATTTATAAATCTGTTTGAATAACCAATTTGTGTTTGTTATAAGATTACTTATACTCATTTTAGTAAGTACGTAAATTACGAATTTTTTTTTTTCTGAATAATTTGTAGTTTGTTGAGAGAGACCAGTTATCAATAGCAATTATTGAAGCACTTAAAGGAGGATGAGTCCCTTTCGTTCTCTCATTCATCCCTACGGTTGTCATGTATGTCAAATTAGGCATAAGGAATAAGGCTAGTTTTTTTAGATTTTACGATGGTGAAAGCCAAAGTTGAAGAAAAGCAACCACTTTTTTTAGGTTTTACGATGGTCAAAGCCAAAGTTGAAGAAAAGCAACGTATGCAAAGGCAAAAATATTTATGCAATGACATTTGTTTTTATTACCATGCATGTGAGCTATTATACACATGAGAAAAAATTCGATTTATAATAGAGTCCATATATAGCATAATTAGAAAAAGAGTTTATGGACTATTGTCCTCCGCCTAGAAGAATTGTTCGTATGTTTATAAAACATTGGAAAAATTAGAAAAGGCATCAAAATACACAACAAACATCATAAAAAATTTGAGGATACAGCAAAATTTGAGGATATTGTTCCAGGGAGAATTCACATCAAGCTTAACTACATTATTTAATTCAAATGGAATCTAAGAGCAGCATAAATATGAAGGGTAAAAAACTAATAGGAAAAGTCACATTTCAGCAGCAATTAATAGCAGAAATCAGGGCTTTGTAGGAAGGACGAAAACAATTTCAGCAAAAAGATACCAGAAACTATAATTACCAACATATTTACATACATGTGAAAATTTATTTATAATCACATTTACAATGATTAACATATTTACAATAAATTACATACACGTAGGTATCCAAGTGTCCATGAATCAGGCATATCACAACACTAATCTCTATCCAGAAAATGCTTGCATCTTCCCACTATGTGGCAAGTCGTATTTTAAGTTCCTACTTCCGAAGACTTTTAAGGCCAGAACAACAAAAAAGATCATGACTTTTGACCTTTTTCTTTTAATTTCGCGTTAGGTAATGAATTAGCAAATTGGTATTAATTAGTATTAGAAAAATAGTCATCATGCTCTGTTTTTAGGAAATGCTAGTAAGTTAAAGAGTTCAATGCACACACTCTAAACTCTGATAAATTTGAGGGCTGTTATCTATCGGTGACTCATTATCAAGCTCGGCATGCACAAATTCTTCACATCCACAAAATCAGAAAATCTTGTACTTCCATAAACATTTGCAACCCAATATAAAACAATTGAAAAACTTTAATAAAAAATGAACCATAAAAACAATAAAAATTTGGTGACCAAAACCTCTCAAAAATCGAGTTTGGAAACATAAACAGAAATAGCAACTAAATTGAATCGCTTTATAACAACTTCCGAAGAACAAAATCATCACCAAGATTCAGTTTAATTAGTTTTCTCACCATATCCTTATACATGCAGTTTATATAATGAGACAATCATCTTCCAAAACCATTTTACAACCAATGTAACTTTAGTGCTAAAAAAAATTTTTTGTATTTCCAAAAACATCCGCAATACATGGAATCTCCACCCAGTAATAAAAATAGAGAAGATCACATACGCAACAGAAGGCGAACACAAATCCCACATTTCACAACCAAATTATCATATCAGTTGAAAACATTAAATTCTAAGAACTAAAACTAATAATAACAGTACCTTAAACTGAAGCTACAGGTGAGAACTTCCTGCTTTGCAACCTGCAACAAACGATAGAAATTAAAACCCACGAATCCACAATCAGATAAAAACAATTTTCCAAGAAAAACAAAACCAAAATTGGTATACAAAAGAGCATTAGATCTATAACCTGGAAAAAAAAAAGCCATACAAAAAACCCCAAAAAAAAAAAATAATAATGGACCTTAAGACAGAGAACAAATAGGCACACAGAGAGATGAATGTGCAAAATGAGAGAAAGGAAAACTAAACCAAGATTGGTATACAAAAGAGCATTAGATCTATAACCTGGAAAACAAAAAGAAAAAAAAAAAGCCATACAAAAAACTCCAAAAAAAAAAAAAAAAAGTTAATCGATCTTAAGACAGAGAACAAACACGCAGACAGAGAGATGAATGTGCAAAATGAGAGAAAAGAAAACTAAACCAAGATTGGTATACAAAAGAGCATTAGATCTATAACCTGGAAAACAAAAAGAAAAAAAAAAGGCATACAAAAAACTCCAAAAAATAAAAAAAAAATTTAATCGACCTTAAGACAGAGAACAAACACGCAGACAGAGAGATGAATGTGCAAAATGAGAGAAAAGAAAACTAAACCAAGATTGTTATACAAAAGAGCATTAAATCTAAAACCTGGAAAACAAAAAGAAAAAAAAAGGGCATACAAAAAAATCCAAAAAAATAAAATAAAAATAAATAATCGAGCTTAAGACAGAGAACGAACACGCAGAGAGAGAGATGAATGTGCAAAATGAGAGAAAAGAAAACTAAACCAAGATTGGTATACAAAAGAACATTAGATCTATAACCTGGAAAACAAAAAGAAAAAAAAAAGCCATACAAAAACCCCAAAAAACAAAAAAAAAAAAATTTTACAGACCTTAGGACTGAGAACAAATGCGCAGACAGAGAGATCAATGTGCAAAATGAGAGAAAACAAAATTTATAAGGGAAATAAATATCTCTGATGATTCCCCTAAAATCTGACCTAACACACTTAAAAATTCGAAAATAATCCATGACAAACAGGCAGATCTAAGCTGATAGAAAAAAAAAAAAATTTCAAAGCACTTATCTTTCGAAATCCAGGCATGCAGCGGTAGATCCGGATAATCCGTATCCGCACTTCTGAAATCGACGACTCATACCTTTCCCCTTCGCTCTCCTTCCATCGTCATCTCTCTCTCTCTCTCTCTCTCTCTTTCTTCCGCTCTCTGTCACAATCTCCATCCCCCCGAAACCCTCATCGAAGGACAGCACAGAACAACCCTCGAACTCAGTCAAAACCGAGAAGATATCACCCACTTTACCACTTCTGATATCACCCACTCTCACTGCGCTGTCTTCCCCTCGAAATCTCTCTCTCTCTCTGTCTCTCTCTCTCTCTTTCTCTCTCTGTCTGTCTCTCTGTCTGTATCTCCGTTTCTTCCGCTCTCTGTGAGAGCTTCATTTCCCCGAAACCATAAATGAAAGACAGTAAGTGCGACCCTTACACGGCAAACGCTTTAATTGACTCAAAACCCAGAGGACAAAATTGCCCTTCCAACCTAGTCTACAAATAATGGGTTTCTTGCAAATAAGATGAAATGAAGGGGTAATTCGTCCTAAACCCTCCGGACAAAATCACCCTTATCAGTTCAAATAATATCCTTCAAACCCAGCCCAATGTTCATGGTTTTTTTGTAAATAAGATGAAATCGAGGGGCAAACATTTGACTGTAGCCCAATGAACAGTAAATCTCTCCTTAGTTTTAGAATAGATAATGTGTTACCTTCTTGTTCTGTCAACAATTATTTATGATAATAACAGGACCCTATCATTTTTTAACATAAATCCTCACCGTCGATTTTCATATTAAATCAGATCCACTGATAGATGCCTCCACCTCTTGAATTTCTGCGTAAATGCACATCATCCATTTTTTGGCCCATTATTTATTAAATTGAAGATATATTTTTTTTCATTTTGATCTTTATTTAACATAGATTTTTCATGGAATGACAAAATGATTGATTTTGGACAAACGCATGGACCACTTCTATTGATTTCAAATTTCAATGACCAAATTGAGGAGTTAGGTCAATCTCAGCGACCATTTTGGTTAAAATGCCATTTTTTTTCTCTAAGGCAGTTAGAGGGATAGAGCTAAGGGAGCGAAAAGGGTTTTCCATGAGATGAGAAATGAAAACTATTAGCCCCACATAAGGTTTGTGAATAGGTGATTGTTTGATAATGAGCAAGGAATTTGTCTTTATGCTAAACATGATGTATCGAACTCATAATTCATTAGATACTTTTTATTAATGTCAACTAAGTATCGTAAATAAATTACGCCCGGTTGTTCAATCATTTGATAACTATTATGTCGCATATGTTATTGATATTGTCAATAACTTGATTTTACAGTCCTATACGCGTTATAAGTATGTTGAACTTTTAAGAAAAGTGTTGTTAATGGAGAAATTGTGTTAGTATGACAGGAAATGGTTTTGAAATTTTATTGACTTAAATAATTAAATGAAATAATATTAGTGAAATTCTGCTGAGTTAATCAACATCACTAGGTATGTTTAGGTGGAGAGCCCTACTCCGATGGCCCAATAAGTACAAAGATGATGAGGGATTATCGTCTTCATCATGCGGTTGAGCTTGGTGCGCAGACTTTTGACTTGGTTGGGTGCTTACTTCCTGCTTTGATGAAGTGTCTGTGTTTGTGGTGACCTTCTAACTTAAACATAATTTAAACCAAAATGTGTTGTATAAGGATTATGAGTTCACCTAGCTACATTCCATGTCAACTTCACGTAAATAAATAACAAAAATACTACTTTTATCATATTTGTCGTACCATATTTTTAATAGAGATGGAATCATGTGTATTGGTGGGTTCTACCTCAATTAGAGAGGTTTTAACGAGACATCTATTATGGGTTGGTCATATCCTTGTATGCATTCTACTTGCATCCTGAAGACGTTTAGTTTTGACTTAATGCAGCGTCTGACCTTCTCCTTAGACTATGAGTTTTATTCTAGCTTGTGCATAACTAGGTTTTATGAGTTTTACTACTTATGCATTCTTCCATTTATTTTTTAGACTTGCATTCGCTCATTGTGACGACTTCATCATCTATAGCATCACATGAAGACATGATGTGCATTTACTTGAGTATTTACACACTTAAAGAGTCTTGCAATCCTAATCTCATTAAAAATGTGATTATTTAAATCTTAGTAGATTAAGAGTGGGATTGCTCAATAAGCTTAATTACAGAGTTTATGCTAATATTCCAATCATTAGTTTTAGTTTCTATGGGATATAAAATGAGTTGGTTGCTTTGGTCAAGTGTCTGTGTTTGTGGTGACCTTCTAACTTAAAGATAATTTAAACAAAAATGTCTTGTACAAGGATTACGAGTTCACCCAGCTACATTCCATGTGAACTTCACATAAATAAACAACAAAAATGATACTTTTATTTCATTTTTTGTATAAATTTTTTAATAGAGATGGAACCTACATGTATTAGTGGGCCATCTCTCGATTAGAGAGGTTTTAATGAGATATCTATTATGGGTTGGCCATACCCTTGTGTGTGTTCTACTTGCATCCTAAAAACGTTTAGTTTTGACTTAATGCAACTTCTCACTATTATCCATAGATTGTGAGATTTATCCTACCTTCTGTTTTACCATAGTCAGGTTTTGTGAGTTTTACTACTTATGTATTCTTTCGTTATTTATTAGGCTCACATTCACTCATTGTGCCGACTTGACAAGACTACTTCATCAACTATTTCTACATCATCACATGAAAACCTAATGTGTAATTTACTTGAGTATTTACACACTCAAGGGGGTGTTGCAATCCAAACATCGTTAAAAGTGTGATTGTTTAAATCCTAGTAAATTATATGTAGGATTCTGCATTATCTTTTAGATAGTTTCCTTGTACAACATGTATTACTTAGAGAACAAATTTATTTCTCCCTTATTAGTATAAATAAAAGCATATAAATAAAGATATAATGCATGATGAATAACACTCATGAATCTCTCGAGCCCTTCTCTCTCTTTTCCTTGCTATTAACCTAAGAAACTATGACAAACTCAAAGCATAGAACAATAGCAGAAAGAATAACGAAGAAGAAGAAGAGAAAGCTCTGCATATTTCAAAGAGTATATGAAGTACAATACAATCTCAATGATTGCTATATCAGCTATTTATAGTGACTAAGAGCATCTCCAAAGAAGATGTCAAAATGTCCAAATCAGCAATAACGGTAACAAAAGACAATATTAATGTTTTCCAATCGAGAAGCCAAATCTGATGTGGCATGACATGGATTGACATCTCTCCCCCTTGCTACCAAATTTGACAGCACCTTCAAATTTTTTTAATTAATTATTAAATGCTTTTTATTAATTTTTTATTAGTTTAAACCATTACCTTTTTGTTTCTTTTCATTCCCAATGAAAAGAAAATACATATGAATTATTATTTTATGTTTAAAATTTGACATATTGGTTGGAGATCAAAAATTCAAAAGAGGTTAAAGTGCCACGTAAGCTTTCAAATTTAAATTTTAGGTTTAAAATTTGACATCTCCTTTAGAGATGGTCTAATATCTTATTACAAAATGACTCAATTACCCTCTCTAACAACTTCGTCTTAACTAACTCAATCCAATTGAATAATCAATGAATCAGTATTGCTATATGGTTATTACTTGCCGCTAGTTCTCCCCCTTGCTTTTCCCTCAGTAAAATAGGGGTACAACAGAATTAGCTTTGTTGAATAAACTTTTTTATTTAATACAAATGACCAAATATAATAAATACACCCTAATTGCGATTAACGACCTTTTCCAACGAGTGAGATATATACATCTTTGCATAAAGCTGACAATAAATTAATCAAGAATACACATCAAGTGACTGTTTTTAATTATTTTTATTTTGAACTTTATTTGCCAAGAGTTGCTCGATCTACCAAATTAATTATTGGATCAATTGCTTTTTCATTTTCTTATTGTGAAAAATTAAAGACACACATGGGTTGTAATCTGTGTATAAACAGCAAGACAACCCCTATTATTCATATTTGGTTCTTCAATAATACAATGTATTAGTTTCATCATCTAATGATTATATATATATACAAGAGAAAAATGATTAAATAACAAAAGTTGCACACACAAAAAAAATTAAAAAAAGACGAAAAAATGCATACACTAAAAGATAAGAAGAAATTCGTCTAGCAGGCCCCTACATATTTGATACCCTCTCCTACGAAAAAAAACCCGCAGTACCGATTTCATTCGTATTTCCATCAATTACTAGCTCAGTCTATGAAAAACCTATCTAATTTTAAATTCAACTTGGGGACATTCTTGTGTGAGGGTTTCGATGTCCTGTCATCTGTTCACCAAAGCCACACACACAAAAACCAAGAATCTCTCCACATTTTGAGTGGAAACTTACCAAAACATCCATTGCTTTCTTGCCTG